TAAAGGTAACGTGCGAATTTACGCTGGATTCTTTCCAGCATTGTTACATATTTTGTTTCAGAGGGATCCCATATTATAGCATTGTACTCCAGCCGACTGCGAACCAAGGACTTATATAGGAAGAAAGAAAGAAAGAAAGAAACGTTTATTCAGCCAGCATCACACATTGCCAGTATACAAAGAGTTACAGTTACGAGCTGAAATGGATCCAAACTCAGCATATGTCACAGCTCAATTGCTGTAACGCTGGTTTTCAGTTGGAACCATTTTGAAGGATGAGATGGCACGATATTACTTAAAAAAGCAAACAAAAATTTACCGTTTATACTAAGAACATTGGAAAATTATTAACCATAAGATATTGCTACATAGTTAATTATTGACTATATGAAACACTGCAGCTACACCTTTTTTATGAATTTAGTTACCTACTAATTTACTAATCCACAACCAAATCACTCCTCCACTGCCAAATCAATATTTAACAGTGAAAGAGTGATTAGTTTGAAATTTGATATATATTTCGTTATTATGCTATAACATATAGAAAAGTATGCAGAAAGTTACATTTAAATATTATCCTTGCTTCATTTACATTTGTTTACATTGTACGAGTATGGAGTTAGATTCAGTTGTGTGGAAATAAATTTATTTTTACCTAGCCGCTTAATTGGAGCTCTAGATAGTATTGCTTTACCTTAACTTTAAAAGACTGAGTGGAGGAGAGGATTCGCAAGGGAGGGGGAATATTATTCCATATTTTGGCGGCCATGTATTTGAAACTACCCCTATAGGCAGATGTTTTATGAGGATGGACTATGAGAGCAACATTACGAGCAAGGCGAGCAAATTTTTGTGTTCTAGAGGACCAGGTGAGTTTATTGTATAGATAAAGAGGCCTACATGTTTTAACTACATTGAAGAGTAGAGATGCAAAATGAACCAATCGCCTAGATGACATGTTTAGCAAATTAGCACGATTAATGAATGGTGTAACATGGCCTCTTGGAGGAACATCGAAACAAAATCTTATACAGGCATTCTGTACGCGTTGCACTAGGTTTTTGGTTTTGGCTAGAAGTCGTGGACCATATACGGTGTCTGCATAATTGAATTTGGAAAGTACCAGAGACTCTACTAGATTAATGCGGAGTTCAATGCTTAGAAACCGGCGTACCAAGTAAAGCACTTTCAAACGATAGAAGCAGTTCATAGCTATTTCCTGAATATGCTTCTCAAACCTTAGGTCGGAATCCATTTGCACCCCTACATTTTTTACTATCGACGTGGAATCAATAACCTTATCATTCAATCTAATGACTGGTGAATAAGATACCGCCTCTGCAACTTGCTGCTTAGATCCTAGTATCATAAATTTAGATTTATCAGGGTTTAATTTTAAAGAATTACTGCACGACCAATTGTAGATGTTTCCTAAATCTTTATTGATCTTCTCCACAGCTGACTCAATTTCCTCAGGTCGACAGGAAAGATAAAGCTGAACATCATCAGCGTAAAGATGTGTTTTGCAATGTTTTACACAGTTAATGATGTCAGCGCTGTAGAGAATATACAATAAAGGTCCAAGAATAGATCCTTGTGGTACACCTCGTGTAACAGCTAAAGGAGAAGACAGTGCTACAGAGCCATTTGAATTACGCAATTGTACAATTTGTTTTCGGTCGTGGAGATAGCCGTGGAACCATTTAACTGCAGATACATCAAATCCATAATATAGTAATTTAGAAACCAACAAAGATAAGTTCAAATGATCAAAAGCACGTGAAAAGTCCAAGAGTACCAGAACCGTACACAACCCTGAATCTTGCGCTTCAAGAAAATTACTTGTAACCTCCATCAAAGCAGTAGCTGTGCTCCTGTTTTTTCTAAATCCAGACTGTGCCTGAGGAAGAATACTATTGTCCTCTAAATAGTCAATAAGCTGCTGGTAAACTACTTTTTCCAAGATTTTTGACAGACAAGGGAGGATGCTAATTGGCCTAAGATCTTTAAAAGTGGTAGGATTAGTGGTCTTGGGAAGGGGCTGTACTATAGCCGTCTTCCATTGTTTAGGGAAAGTGCTTGTGATAATAGATCTATTCACTAAAGATGTAATAGCACCAAGCGTGTTAGGAAGGGTTAACACAAGCGTGTCCAAACTGATTCCATCAATACCCTGAGCATTTGATTTCAAAGAGCCAACGATTTTTGAAATACAATCCTCTCCTACACAATTAATATAAAAATTGGAAGAACCAAATCTATGCGACTCGTAATAAATAATATCAGTCAAGTTAACTTTATCTGAACCAACTGGTTCTACGAAATATTTATTTATATCTTCAACAGAAGAGAGATGAGCAGGGAGATCCGTATCTGATTTAGGAGGGAGAATATGTAACTTTAAATTTTTCCATAAGGCTTTAGGATTTCTTATTTGATTATTAACATTATAATTAAAATAAGCGCGTTTTTCATAGAATAGTGAAGAATTTACTACACCATTCAATTGCTTGTAATATTGCTTGTGGGATTCCTCTTTAGTTTGCAAATAGCGCAAATGGGCTTTATTTCTCAAATTCATCATAAGTTTTATGGTGTTAGTGACCCAGGGATATGACTGTTTTTTAATTTGTATTGACTTAATTGGTGCATGAACATCATACAAATTGAGGAGTAACTCATTGAACAAAAATACCATTTCAGCAACATTGTAACATTCGGATATTCTAAACCATGATAAAATACTAAGGTCACAATTAAATTGACTGAGATTAATATCTTTTAAAGGTCTATAACTAATTATTTTTGGAGGAATCGCCGGCTTTCCAAAACCATACTCACAGATAATCAGGGCATGATTTGCCAGTTTACTACCAACCATATCAGTTTTAACACTTCGCGGGAGAATATCTGTACACACAACGTCCAAGAGTGTCTCGCTATGGTCTGTAAAATGAGTAGGAGATGTGACCACTTGCTTCAAATTATGAATATTAATGAAGTCAAAAAATTTTACAGAATTAACACTATCTGGTACCAACAAATCAATGTTAAAATCGCCAAGCAATATCAAACCATCACAAAGTCCCAAAGAACTAATAGAATCAGTCAAAGCATTCAAGAAAATATCAACACCGAGCCACGGGGGTCGATAAGCTGTACCCATAAAGATCCTGTTACCATTAATGTTAACTTTCAACCACATTTGTTCAACTGATGGACATACAGGAGGCTGCCAAACCCTAACTCTAATACTTTTTCTGACAAAGAAAGCCACACCACCACCACGTCCATTGCGAATGTTTAATGGTCTAGGTGTGCTCAGCAACCTATAATCAGACAAAATCGGGGCTCTACCTTCCTCATTACGTCGCAGCCACGTTTCATTAATTGCTAATACATCCAAAGAGTGATGATCCACTGCCAAAAAAAGCTCATTGTGATTTTTACTAAGTGAACCTGGGTTATAAAAACCAACAGTGAAAAACTGTTTTTTGTTAACCATTAAAGTGGGAAAGTAATTATTATAGCACATAAAGTTAGATACAATTATACACTAAGCGCAAGACACTGGCCGCCATTTGAATATATATAATAAATACATAGAAAATCAAACCACCCTCTCGGACCCAAATCGCGTATATGCGGTTTTTCAAATAAACCAACATTTTGACTTTGATCCGAAAAACTAGTTCCACCTCCCAGGCATAACAATCGCGAAAATCCAAAGATTCGATAACTATAAATATTCAAACTGGGAAAAGTAATTACTATAGCATACAAAATTGGATATATACAAGTGCTATTAGTTAGAGAATGGCTGCTATTCAAGTAACTATAAATAAACAAACTTACAAACAAAATAGGATACTTCACGTTGTTTCTGCTAGATGAATATTGAGTATCAAAATACTCACAAATTACCGACAAACAACAAATTATACAATGCAAAATATTTTCTACTATTATTGACAGTTTTCTCTGCTTTTTCTCTCTGTCCTTAAAAATATCAACGAAAAATACACAGTAACAAACTAGCAGCAATATCCTACATAGTTTAGTTAAGTAAAACAAACTATGTATATGGATAAAAAAAAGAAAACAAAACCAATAACATATTTGGCAAAAAATTAAAAATTGCGTAAACCTTAGGGTTGGATAACTGTAAATATTCAGACTCAGAAAAATAATTATTATAGCATATAAAATTAGATATAAGTAAGTGCTATGAGTTAGAGACCAGCTGCTATGCAAATAATTATAAATAATCAACACAAAGGAAAAGGGATACTTCACATTAATTCTGTCAGGTGAATATCGGTTATCAAAAAATTCACAAATTACCAACAAGCAACAAATATAGTAACGCAAAATACTTTCTACGATTTTTGACAGTTTTTCCAGCTTTTTCTCTCTGTCCTTAAAAATATCAATAAAAAATACACAGTAACAAATTAGTAGTAACAGCTTACATAGTTTAGTTAAGGAAAACAATCTTTGTATGTGCATAAAGAAACAAAACCAATTACATATTTGGCAAAAAATTAAAATTTGCATAAATCTAAGGATTGGATAACTATAAATATTCAGACTCAGATAAGTAATTATTATAGAATATAAAATTATATATAAATAAGCGCTATGAGTTAGAAACTGGCTGCTATTCAAGTAACTATAAAAAATCAATACAAACGAAATAGGATATTTCAAATTAGTTTTGTCAGATGAGTATTGAGTATGAAAAAACTCACAAATTACCAACAAGCAACAAATGAAGTAATGCACAATATCTTCTACAATTATTGACAGTTTTTCCAGATTGTTTTCTCTTTCCTTATAGATATCAATAGAAGATACACAGTAACAAATAAGTAGTAACAGCCTACATAGTATAGTTACAAAAAATAAACTGTGAAACAGCTTAAATAAACAAAACCGATTGCACCTAAGGTGAAAAACTAAGAAAATTAATGTGATTAAACTGTACAGATCAAACATTATCCCAAGCCAAAAGTTATGGCAATGTCATCCTCAGATCGCAGGCGATGTCGTTCCGCACCATGTTCTTTACGTGTGAAGATTTTACCGTCACGTGTCCATACATATTTGTAATTTGCACGCAGTGATTCACTGCGAGCCTTGTAAAAAATGTGACGGTTGAGTCGCGTTAGACGCTCATTAACATATAGTCGACGCTCAGGTGATGCCAAACCCAAACCAGCAGTAGTCGCATTTCGGCGGACACGCGCCGCTGACAGGAGTTCTTCACGCTGAGTACGACGCGCCAGTCGCACAACGATAGGGCCCGGGCGCAGGCTCTCCTTTGGGTCAGATTCCGGACGCCGCCGCAAAACTCCACCCACACGCTCAGCACTGACGATATCACGCTCCTCCAGCGTAACGCCCATCTTCATGGCGACTGCAAGAACGAGGTGAATGGGATTTTCATTTTTATCTTCAGGTATTCCTGCAATCTCAAGATCATTACTTAACAAACCCTGGTCACGATCATTCAGTTCGAGTTTCAAAGCAGCAATGGTTTTTTTGAATTCACAAACATCAGTGGGCTCTGGGTTGGACGAGCATTTCTCAAGATACTCCACTCGCTTAGTGAGTTCATCTATGCGATTGTTACATGCACCGACCGCAGAGGTAAGACTAGCGATGGACTTTCGAAACTCTTGCATTTCAGCACGCATTGACTTTTGAAACCCTTGTATTTCCACACGTACTGCAGATATTATATCATCGCGCAGCAAACGCATCTCAGCAACAATGACAGAAGACCCTTCCTCAGCCGCAGCCGTACTCAATAGTGCACTGGAAGGCGTATGACAGGTGGAAACAGAGTCCGTTCCAAGCCGCTTCCTAGTTGTGATATTCGATAAACTAGTGTCACCGGCACCAGAATCCAGCGTCGGCGAGCTGTCAACACACTTTTCGCACTTCCAATTAGACTTGTGCTCCTCTCTCATTGTATTATAAAAGCGTTTCTCGCTCACATTAGTACACATCAGATCATAATATCGAAGACAATGACAGCACTTTAAAAATTCACGAGTTTTAATTTCCTGCGAACACCGGTCGCACGTTATCTTCACAGAACATGCAGCTAGCTCCATCTTGCAGATCTTAGTGAAAAAACTGCGTTCGTTAAATTGCCAAGCTAACAATCAATACAAATGTCAAAGAATAAATCCGATGCTTATCGTGGACAAAAAAGTGCAGCAACGAAAAAACAGATGTCGCTAGACTGTTCCCAATTATTGAAATTAAAAATCAATTTACGGCACCCCGATATTAACACAATAGGTTATGTTAGAATTAAATCAGTCCAAAGACACTCAATATATCACTGTATTTATGCAGATGCACTGATACCAAAGTTCTGAAATACTTTTAGAGCTCTTAGACGGTTGATACGGCTAATAAAAAGATCCTCAAGCACAACACAGTCAAACTATATTTGATGTATTTTCTTCACTGATCCTTAACACTAATAAGAGATAACACTCGTACGGAATAATTAAGACATGTGTAACCGGATAACAATAAAATTTTGAATAAATAAAACTTTTAAACAAATTTTTAAAATTAAAATAACACAAGCACAATGTTGCTTAGACAGCAGCGCCCCTCCCAATCACCTAGCGTCACAGCAACTCCAGGATTCTTAAACTGAGAGCCGACTCTCATAATGAACCCTAATGTTTTACTGGCTCTGCTACAGGTGGAAGTAATATGCTATCGGAAGTCCAGTCTTGAATCCATTGTCAATCCAAGATCATTCGTCGTTTGGACTCTCGTCATAGGTGTGCCAGCCAGGTGGTAAGTAAAACATAATGGCGTTCGGCTGCGAGTAAAGGTGATCGACTTACATTTTGTCTCGTTAAAATATAAGCGATTTCTATCAGCCCATTCCGCAACTGCTTCAAAATCTAGTTGAAGCGCCTCGCAATCGTCAGTCCCATTTATTGTCATGAACAATTTTAAGTCGTCCGCGAACATGCGGCACTTGGAATAGCGGACAGACAGCGGTAGATCATTTATCATCATGAAAAATTGCATCGGCCCTAATGTAGAGCCCTGACTTACGCCAGATCGTGTATAATAGGTGTTCGATTGTAACATGACAAAAACTTCAAGAGTTTTAGTGTGAATCCGAAAGACGCCATCTTCTGTAGCAGCACGTCGTTGTCTACAATATCGAATGCTTTTTTGAAGTTAAAGTACGTTGCATCAACTTGTTGACCTAAATCCATCCCAGTCGTAACGAAATCGACCAAATTTATATGATTTGTAGCGGTTGAGCACGCTTCCCTAAATATGTGCTGGCAGTCAACGAGGCGAGGCCGAATCTGTCGCGTGATTTGCCTATTAATCATTGTTTCAAAGACCTTGCCGAATACTGACAGTATTGCTATTGGTCTGTACATCGTAACATCCACGACAGATCGACCACTCCCCTTCGAAACTGGAGTTACTCTGGAGATCTTCCAGTAATCTGGATATTTACACGTATCTAAGAATAAATTACACAAATATAGAAGAGGGCGCTCCAGGGCCGAAACAACTTCACAAGGAATGGAGGAACTTCGTCATGACCCGCCGCTGAATGAGGTTTCAACTTTTTAACCGCCACCCGTAACTCATTTATTGTCAGCCCATTAATCGACACATAACAAGCATCCAACCCGCTCTTGTTTTGCCGTGCCCACACAGGATCTAATCGCGACACGTTACTATGAAACACCGAGCCAAAATACGATGCAAAACCATCCATTGCATCCTGTCCAACAAGTAAGTTGCCATTATAAACATAATGACGTGGAGGTTGCCCATTACTCCGCTTTTCCCCAATATATTTCCAGAACTTTGTTGGCTCGCTTTTGATTACCTTCTCGATATGGTTGATTTTGATATGCGTTTCGTATCAGATACTTACTATGTGCGCGATAGTATTTGTACATTTCCCCGCTAAATTTGTTTCCCCGTTTTTGAATTTTTATAGATGATAGTACTTTGTTTCGATACAATTAATAATTTCTTTAGTATACCACGACGGATATACAAAATGTCTCTTATTGCGTTTACCTTGCTTGATAGGCACGAATTGATAAATGCAATTAAACAATTTGTCGTAAAAGACTCTGACTGCCTCGTCAACGTCTCGTACTTCGAACAAGTCCTCCCAATTGATGCCCAACAAATGTTCATAAAGCAGACGGAGATTGGCTTTAGGAAAGTTCCAGCGCGGTGCCAAAAGTGGATTAGAACGAGGAGGGCTTATTTGCAAGGGTGGCGCTTTGTCACTACGCTTGAATTTCGTCTCTATCTCGAGCGTGGGATGGTAGGCATCTCATGGTACCATTGGATCGGTAGACCTAGCAACCGCAACCTCCTTGGAATCCGGCCCACCCAGGACGCTTCAGGACGCTATCAGGTCCAAGACGCTTCCATACTCGTTCGTAATATAAGTATATTGTTGTAATTTACAGAAGTTCATAAAGAAATTAAATTGCGATTTTACATTAGCACTGCATATTAAATTAAATTTTAATTTTAATTACATTTTAATTAAAAAAAAATTATTTACTTACGATAAAGGTTGTATTTTTATTTTATTATCACCTTTGCACAACACTTTAAAGCTAAATAAGATCAAGTTAGTTTTATATGTATAAACAACTTCAAAAATACGTCACGACAATCGTGTGTGTTATTGTTTGGGCTGGTGATTTCGGTGTTTATTTATTGAAAACATACCGTAAGTAGCGTTTTTTAAGTTTACCCTAAATATAAATGTTTATAAACTATACTTTTAGGAGTAATTTCAAGGTAAACGTTAGAACCACTCAAACGGAATGTTACCATATTTATCCAAGTACACCAAAAATTTCATTAGTGCTTTTTAAGTGCAGGATTTGCGGTGTATTACTGCATTTTATTTGAGATATTTTTGTTGGTAGTACGGAGGGTATTTATTTAGCATTGCAGAATAATAATTTTTATTTATAAAAACTTGTATTTAAACTGAATGCTTTTCTAATTTGCGAAACCAGACAGCCGCCATTTTG